CAGTGGGAAAGTTAGGTTTGACTCTAGGTAAATTTCAAAGCCGAGAATTGTGGATTTATTGGTATCAATCAATAGCTTACATTTTATATAATAGAAACACGACCAGTTCAGTTATGATTGTTCATATTTTTGCTATATTATAGCTTTACTAATATTTTGAAATATCCATATTAATAACTAATGATATTTTGATTTAAAAAACTAATGAATAATTTATAGTACAATATATGCCACATATAAAATCTCAGTAAACACTTGCTTTACTCGTCAATCAGTTTCAATCACGTTTTCAAAGGATTAAAGCAGACCTTTATTTAGTATTTCTTTCACTAATATATAAAGCGTTTTTACTGTATAAATAATATCTACATACGTATTATGCTTATTTACTACAAATTTATAAATTATAAATATATTATAAATATATTTAAAATGTATAATACAAAATCAAAAATAAAAAATAAATATTTTTGCTATCATATACATATTAACAAAATACAAAATATCACAATAATAGAGACAAATACTACATCTACTTTTGTCAATATTAATAATAACTAATGATATTTTGATATAAAAAACTAATGAATAATTGCCACATATAAAATCTCAGTAAACAATTATTCTTTACTCGTCAATCAGTTTCAATCAAAGGATTAAAGCAGACCTTTATTTAGTATTTCTTTCACTCATATATAAAGCGGTTTTACTGTATAAATAATATCTACATTCATATTATGTTTATTTGCATTGAATTTATAAATTATAAATATATTATAAATAAGTTTAAAATGTATAATACAAAATCAAAGGATATTTTTAATGAATAAATATTAAGCACATCTTTTTCCGCCTAAAAGTGAGCACACATTCAAATTGTGATAAATATCCCAAAGTTTACGAATTGAGTTATCGTTAAGATTTTGCCAGAATATTGAAACAGACTTATAGTGACAAAAGTCTAGTGCGAGTGGATTACAGCCGTTAGTTATATATATAAGAGACACGAGTTTCTTGCGGGTTATATTGCAATGGTTGGCAACAATTCCCGTCACATACACGTCTTCGAAAGGAAGGGCCGGTAAGTATTTGGTGACAGCCGTCTCGTATAGTGCCAGACAATAGCGGCCCGGTATGAGGTATGGGCCGCCAATATAATCGGGGTAATACTCATGCGAGTAATCTCTAGTACTGATACCCCACTTGTCATTTCCGTGATCCACGACAGCTTTGGTCCACAAATAGCCGTATATAGCGTTCGCATCACTCGTACGGATAAATTCCAGCAAATTGTTAGCCATAACAAGCGAGTCGTCGTCCACTTTAAGCATGTATTTAGCAAAAGGACAGCTCCGGGCCGTCCACCTCAACAGTGCCAACGCTTTTATGGTGCAGTTGTAGTAGTTTTCATAGTAACCAAACTGCAAGATATCACCGAATTGGTCACTTTCGGTCTTCAGTCTCGACTCAACGCTTGGATCCCTAGATAGTCCGACAGCGAAGTATATCCGGGTCCTTTTGTTTGCTTTAAACTCTTGACCCCATGTCTGGCGTATGGTTTGTCTCCTCTCGAAGCCGTCCACTCTGTTGAAGACCAATACCACTAGAAGTAGATCTCTACCAAACTGTTCGCTACAAGACTTCTTGTCGATCGTAATGTTTGTCATTTCAATCAATTCATTGGCGAATATAAGACGAGAACCACTTCTCTTCAACTGTAATACTGATAATGTCTTCAAATAGTTATCCACTCTTTGAAGTGTGGACTCAATTCCAGTGTCATTGCGTTCATTGGGTTTAAGTTGAATCACATTTGAATCAATTGTCACACAATTGTATTCGTAAAGTAAAATATAGGTTAAAATGACAACACTTATTAAGAAACAACACTTTACTATTGGTTTCCTTTTAGACATCACTTATAAATATATTTTGTTATAATATAAAATATTATCTTGTAATATAAATATTATGTTAGAAATGTAATTATAGTATATTATATTAGATGTCCAAGCAGAGGTCGAGTGCACCCATACGAGTAAATGTTCTCGCACAGAAAGAAAAAATGAATACAAACTGGTTAAAAACTATTTTTAAAGTGATATTTTATTTTTAAAAATATTTTTATTTAAAATAATATTAAATTCATGTTAATGTTAAAGTACAATATAGTGAATTTAGCATAAGTAATAAGAAATAATTGATTAGATTATTTCATGTAAAATACTTGGAAACACTCAATATTTCTGATTTCACAGGAATTTAAGAATATTTCTGATAAATAACTCTTTAACACTTAACATTTGACATTTGACACTTAACATTTAACTAAATTGATGAGCTAAAAGTAATATGTTAAGTGTTCATAGAATTATCAGAAATTATTTGAAAACATTAAATGTATTCGAGTGATTCGGATTTGTTTTTTACCATTTCAGGCTTTAATTTGGTATATAACATGTCTAGGTGCTATTTATATTTAGTTTGTTATTTAAGTTTTAAATCGTTCCCAATTAATTCTGATCACTCTGTATTGTACTTTAACATTAACATGAATTTAATATTATTTTAAATAAAAATATTTTTAAAAATAAAATATCACTTTAAAAATAGTTTTTTAACCAGTTTGTATTCATTTTGTCTTTCTGTGCGAAAACATTTACTCGTATGGGTGCACTCGACCTCTGTGTCCAAGTTATAATAAATTAATTGAATAAAAGTATACATACTCAAGGCTCAAAATACTTTTGAAAACTGTCCAGTCTATGCTAATAATAATATCTTTTGAGTGTCTGAATAGACAATAAATGAGAAAGCAATTAACCGCTTATTTTAATTGACATCTTTTTTATAAAGCTGCATTCATAATTTATAATTTGACATTTTTGCTTTAAAAAAGTATATAACTTTCGAATCACTAAATAAACAACACAAATTAAAATTATTTTCCAGTATACTGGCATACTCACGATTACAAATGAATTTATACAATGACAAACCTGGTTTCAATAAATTGTAATTTTCTACTTATTTTTATTTTAAGAATTCCGCTTTTGTGAATAAAAATAAACTAAATATTAAATTTATTAAAAATTAATGAAAAATATCATAGCACTTGATTTATTTTTAAAATAAGGTTTTATTAATCAATTCAATAGACCAGTGTTCAATAGTTACAGACTAAAATGTAAAGTCCCATGTCTGGCCGCCCAATATGTTTGATTAAAACTAATTAATATTATAGGGGAAGCTATAGAAATGTAACAGAAAATGGTTTTATATTTCTGAAAATAATTTGTAATTTTCAGTTTCATTGAACATAATAAAAGTTTGTGCACTTTCGTAATTAATTTAATTCAACTGACATTTCGTATTCATTTTCAATTTGTAAACTCACTTAAATTGTATTTATAGAAAACAGCAGGTGTTGTGCATTTGTTGTCAATATTGAACACAAAATAGAGTATAGGTAATTTAATATGGATTTTTTTGTGAAAAAGTCTATCAAATTAATTTACTTAACAAATTATTTCTTAACTTTCTGTCAAACAAATATATTTAATGTGTTTAATATAATTTTCTAAAAATAATTTAACAAGTTTTTAAACTCTTGTGTTTTATTTCGTAACTAAATGAATATTTTATATCCATTGAGTAAATAATTTTTGGCTATTTTATAGATGAAAATTAACTCTTGATTTGAGTACTGTTTGTCAAGAGTTAAATAAAACAAACGGATGTTTGCAAACAATATTTGACCGATTTTTTCAAAGTCAGTGTCTTTGTTGTGGTTTCGATGAAAACTGTTTGAACAGACGTTCACTAAAGTCAAGCTCTGGACTGAATCCAAGTTAACGACTAAACACTCAATAATAGCAACACTTATAACACAATCAAATAGTGTTATGCACTCAATATTCACACATTCCTCGCATATTAGACCCAATATTTGATGTGATTTTGCCGTAAATTCCAGTCGTTGTACAGAAAGTGTTGATTTGAATGAATGTCTGGGCTTTAGATTCTTGAGACGACACCAAACCATATACTCATCCCATGTGTTGCCGACAATCAAAGCGCGGAATCCTTTCAGATAAGAATGAATTGAATGCCGAAACTGTTTCGACACTTCTCTCAATACAATGAGTTCTTCGGCACCGAAATACTTGTATACTTCGAGCAATACATCGAAATTCAAGATATCAGTCATTGGTTCAGATATCTGTTGTTCAGTCATATCTTTCTCAATATTTGTCAAACTCTATGAAATGATTTTGATTACAAGTTTTTGATTAATTTTGATTTTATTTATTTTTAAGCTTTGTGTTTTCATTAACAATTCGTGTGAACAATCAATTTTATTATTAATACATCGATTTAATGAAATTTTATTAAAATTATTAAAACTTCAATCATTCTCATCATCCTAACTAAAAGGGGTAATAAACTGTACTGGTATATGTACTATAAACATTAATTTATTGCGTTAAAATACAAATCTGCTATGAATTACTATATTACTATTTTTAAACAATATCACTTATAGCAATTATGTAAAGTACTATTATTCAAATAATATCATTTACCGGGATTTTATTATTCAAAAACTATTTATATTCACATTTACAGGGAAAGCAACTAAATATTTATCATATTATTTAATCAATATTCGTCTATTCATTCAAACAAATGGTTAATTATTGAACTCAAGTTTATCAACAATTCGTTTATAATTTCAATCATTAACTAAATGTAAATCATCTTTCATATCAACGCCAATATAAGCCAATACTCGCAAACATTCTCTTAATTTCTATTAACCACCGAATGGTCAATAAAAATCAATTACAATAATACAATGGTAACAATTAAATGCAATTGAATGCATGTAACACGTCTTGATTTCATGTCTGTATGGTTGGGATGACATTCTCTTAATTTCTATTAACCACCGAATGGTCAATAAAAATCAATTACAATAATACAATGGTAACAATTAAATGCAATTGAATGCATGTAACACGTCTTGATTTCATGTCTGTATGGTTGGGATCCCTTCGGTGATGCTGTCAATCTGTTGCTTATAACTACTGCTATAACTATTACTGTTGTTGCTGTGCACCAGCTTCTGGTTCTCCGACTCCAACCAATAGGTAGTCATCGTTCCCTTTCCCTGCAATTGTCTCATCAGTTTATATCCCATGTCTTGCCTACCATTTCATCAACTCATTTGACACTTACCTTAATCTCGATCTCTCCGCGAGGGACGACCACAAATGTGCCAAATGCTTGCAACAGTTTCATCGATTGTTCCGATATATGGATCTTCAGGGGCTCACCTGTCGGCGCATACATTGCATTTAAACTTTGTTTTCAAACATATTGTGTGTTAAAAGTTATACCATTTGTTTCCATTCTCGAGGCAGTATTCACAGTATCTCCTAATCAATGCAAAACATAGGGTTTCATAAAATTCATTACAATTTAATTTATTATAGGGTTATAGTAATAATTGGTATTAATATCTAACCAAACAGACAGTATTTAGGCATTTTGAGGCCGACCACACCGGCAACACAGGGCCCGCTGTGGAAACCGATTCTCAATTGAAGTTTCCTTTTAGGCAAATGTCGTATTTTGAAGGCATTCGTTGCTTTTCGGAGGTCGAGGGCCAGTCGTGCTATTTCTCGCACGTGTTCGTCGCCATTCCTGATGGGCAGACCCGACGCCACCATATATGCGTCGCCTATAGTCTCCACTTTATACGTGTCATAGATCTCAATGATTGCGTCAAAACATGTGTACAGATCATTGAGAAGGTCCACCTAAATGGGGGCCATTTTATTAAGTCTATTCATGTAATCAGGGTGCTTTATGGTGCAATTGTGTTAGAAGTGCTGGAAAGCCATTGAGAAGCCATACCACTTGCATAGGAGTAGATACGGCTGAAAGTGATGTAAAGCCCACGATATCCGAGAAGAAGATAGTGACGGCTTCAAAGCTTTCCGGCTGAATATGAATGCCTTTCCGGAGCTCTTCGGCCACAAAACGGGGCAATAATTGATACAAAAGTTCTTCGGTTTTGCGTTTCTCTTCGATAACCGATTCGGTCTTTTCGGCCACAATTCGCTCCAAGTTTTGTGAATACTGTTCCATACGTTGCAGTAAATTGTCCAAAAAGTTACGGCTGGAGATACCCTGAGTAATCTTCCGCAGCTTCAGCTTGATTTGGGGAAAGTCCGGTCGAGTCATCGGCTGCTCAGACCAGCACTCGTGCATCAAATTAAGCAACTCTTTGGAGCACTCGTCGGGGGCCACCTCTGGTCTGAATGGGGGTACAGTTCCCATACGGATTCGGTCCAACACTTCGTTGGGCTCATAGACTATGCGTTTGCGACCCAAACGCTCCAATGACTCAAAAGGTCCGCAACGAGTGATGATTTCCTGAAGCATTACCGCAAACGCATAGACATCGCCTTTCTTTGAACCCGTATTTATGGGATCTCTAGCTCTCAAGTGCTCTAAAATATAATATTAGCGGTTATATTGAAATTTATTTCATAGCAATCAATACCGGGTGCCGTCCAAAAGAGTGCTCTGGGATTGATGTCCTGTTCCTGAGAGACCTGATGGTGCAGAGCTCTGAGTCCATAGTCAGTGATCTTAACCATAAACCTTCCGTCGACCACACAATTGGTGGACTTAAGCCTTCCGTGATAGTCGAGTAGACTGTTGTGCAAGAATATCATGCCCTCCACGATGTCTGTCATCATAGAGTACCGGAAATTCCAGTCAATGTTGATCTTCTCGTTCTCCAACAGATCCCGAAGACTGCCTCTAATGCAGAGTTCGGTCACAACGGCTAAATTTTGCTCGTCCGGACACAACCCCACAAATCTGACCAAATTCTCGTGAGTCAGCTCCCGCATCTGCTTGGTGTGGGAGGGAATGGTAGGTTGGGGTAGACATTGACTCTATCATTAGATGTACAGTACATAACATAAAATCATAAGAATCCATACAGATTTCAATTCTTGTAGTAATTCTCGACTCAAATTCAATCTCTTTATATTCAACGGTTTGACCGCAACTCTGTTCCCCTTATAAGAGGCGACCAGAACTGAATCGATAACTCCGGCGGCGCTGACCAGTGAGTTGACGACTGACCCGATCTTAGCTGTCGATGCCTTTCCAGAGGCCGCGTATCCATCAGTTTCAGAAAAGGTAAGTGACATAACAGACTTTCCTCCCGATTGTCTGCTTTTGACCACATGTTCGGGGAAAATGATGTCTGAAAATAGTTTTAAATGAAATAATCCCTATAATAATCCTATGGAAGTCATGTCTACCATCGTAATTAATTTTCCACCAAAGGTCCGCCAAATCTGATTCGTATTTCAATTTCTTGGACACAAAGATGGTAACTATAAACCCAACGATTGCGATACAGAGAAATATGATCATAATAATGGCCCATATTGGAAATGGTTCTGTAAATCAAATAATTAATCGATATTATAATACCTTTATTTAAGTGATATTTGCAGAAATATTGGCTAAGAAAATATGCCACTATTTTACACAATTTCTTTGAGTCAATTAAAATAATGTACATTCTCGCCCACAATTTTATAAAACTTGTTACAATTGAGCTAATATTAAGATGATTACTTTGAAATGTTGTTAAATGGGCTAAAAATGAAAAGGTTTCAAAACAAGAATTACTTTGTTTTTAGAAAACTAAAAATCTAAACGCCCGTCCCTTACTTTTTCATTATTTTAGATTTTTACAACTATGACCCAGAAGACATAGTGACACTCAATCCAAGTTTATCAAAGTAATTTGTCAAATTCAAAAATGAAACTATCAAGTTTTAGATGACTTTCAACTGGTGCATACATAGTCCAACAGTTTTCTTATTGAATCACGCATTTGTAAAATATATGTTAATATCTGAGTTGAATGAAAGTGAAAGTAAACAAGCATACCTTTAATAATGCAATGTGGTGCATCGCCTGTGAAACCACAATAGGGAACATCGGGTGGCTGTGTCTTTTTGCCATTGGGCCAGTGCACCTCCACTCCCTGTAACTTTTCAAACAAACGTCGGGCCCCAAAATATGAGGCCACGGGTCGCATAATGCCTGTCTCGGGGTCCAAGTCGTTGAGAGTGTAATCGGCCTCTCGATCGCCGTTTTCATTGATAGAGATATCACCCGTGAGTCCTACTTGTAGGCCGGGTAAACAGAAAAGGTAGTTTATCACGAGTTAGTACTGTTTATTCAACAACGATCCCAGGTGCTAATCAATTAGGAACTATTAAAATTTTAACCATCTTTGAAGGATGTGTCCCATAAACGGCGGGCGAGTGTACGGCCATCCCTCGGGTCTCCACCCACCGCCAGTGTTTTATTGTAGGCCCAGGCGTACATTAGGACACAGTCATAGAAAGCGGCCACAATAGGGTTAACCTGGATATTAGAGAGTTTCGTTGATGTCACTTGATTTTGATTGTTCTGAAATCAATGGTTTGGCAAAACTATTTGATTAACAACTAAATTCATTGCTATATATAGAGCCTTATCTGTTGTGTTAATAAAAAGCAGATTTTTAATCAAATTAACTGCTAATTCAATTAAAAGGTTATTTAAAAGCATCAATTCAAAGGCTTTCAAGCGATAGGGATGGTATGTAAAGACCTGTTCAAGCACAGTTTTGCCAGCAAACTCATCCAGGGACATCTGCGTCACTTTGTGTGTGAAGGTGGCGTACTCGGGCGACGTGGGCACCCGTACGGCCACCATCATGAGCGACTCGTACATCTCTCGGGCCTGTTTGTTACGTTTATCTCCGGGCTGGTACCACGAAAAGTCACCGGTAGTGCCCGCACTCTTGACCAACTCTACTCCGAAGAAGGCGTACTCTCCATTTCCCATCCCTAACTCATGTGCCTCTAACAGCATATGTCTGACCAGTTCGCCCATTGTTAGGATTATAAACACTGTTTACCGTAATATATAATATTCGTTACATATATTTATATTATATACATTTGTATATTATTTTTTATTTAATATACTGTAGGGGTGTATATATTATAAATTCATATAAAATATTTATATACGAATGTAAAACATTGTTATATATATTATAACCGACTACATCTGACCAGAATATTACTACTATGAGCACACCCTATCTAATACATTATATATTATATATTTAATGCCGTATGCATATGTTATTTAATATATTATATATTTGACGATTAGTATGTAAATGCTAAACTATTATTATATAATTATTATAAATATTTTATAATTTATATAATCTTAGTTAATAAAATACGCGCCGTTCGGAATAGAAGTCAAAGAAGCATGGACAATATACCTAAACACCTCTTTTGCAAGGGTTTATAAGTGATCTCAGCTTGGTTAACCAAGCTCATTTGATATTACATAATAAGTTTAATACATTTCAGTAATATATTTTATATTGCTCCAAGTGTTGTCAGTTTAATATATTTGTAAGTTATTAAATAGTTATTTAAAGAATTAATAAGTTGTGAATAAATTATGTATAGGCTATGTGCAGTAACTCTTATGATTATTGTTTTGTTAGTACTGTATATTTGTACAATTTATTATTTACACTCATACCAAAATTGAAAAAAGTTAAGAATTATTTGCTTAGGAAATTGGACTAAATAAGTGACAAACCTCTGGCCGCACGGGAAGCCTGTTTCAGGATCTTCTGGTAATTGACGGTCGCGTTGTCTTTTCTGGTGAACGTCTGGATGTCTAAATTGATTTCGTGTCCGAACTCTACTTCTTTGAACACCGATTGCAGACTAACTTTGATGAGAGTGTTGGTCATCTCTGTCTCGTCTACAATGAGTGAGATGTGGTGCCAGTCGTACTCACGGATGATCTTCACCAAGAAATGCGAGACACGATCTGTCAAACAAAATATGTTTTTCATTCAACAGTCAAATCAATGATTATTATATTGAAATTGTCACAATACTTCTACAGTATAATTAAAATTTATATCACATTTCTAATGTTTTGTCAAAATTATAATCAATCCTTTGATAATTTATTTGTTTTTTAAATCTGAGGATTATGTTATATCAAGTGTACTGTATGAATTCTTTCATATAATGCTAATTATAATATATAATTTTTAATAGCCCTAAGAATACTGAAATCATTTGCAACGATTTTGTATAAATATAATAACTATAATATAATACCCAATGAAAAGGCCATTCGAGTCAATGAAGTATAGGTCTGTTTCTTAGAGAACTCAACGCCAATACCCCCACCGGTGAAGATAGGGACGTTCCAGTACGAGGCCATCCGGGCCACCGGATCCAACGCCATACTACACGCCGGGCCCACTATTACGTCCACTTTTCTCAGGTAGAACTCCTCGGCCGCCAGAGCGCCGGCAACGTTGTGAATGCAGGCGCTCTCGTCCTTTCGCGCCACCAAATGGAACCGTAGGTTTGGGTACATTATTCGGACTCTCTCTATAGCCAACTGGAGGGCCGGTTTGACCACTTCGAAGTACACGGGAAGCTCCGCCTGTTGTGCCATCAGCAGGAAGATTGTCACGTCATTCAGATCCGACACAATCATATCCGTTGATCTTCGCGGTGGAAATAATGTCACATTTGGGACGCCGTTTGCGATCACACTTGGGGTCACATTCGGGGCTTCCGTAGAAGTGACCGCATATTTCTTGTCGTTTAATAGGAAACCGGCCGTAAATACAGAGATCGATAGCAGCAACTGTCCAAACATTTTGAACGCACCGCTAATATTGATCAAAAAAAACTATACTTATTATTTGAGTGCTCTTTGAGCTGCAACTAGAAAATGGTCTCAAAATTCGTATCAATGTACTTTTTATAACTTTTTTATTTCCTTGACTTCACTTTTCCTAAATAAAAAGTGCTGCAAATGTATCGAGAAATTAAGTTTAACTACTATTTGACACGATATAAGTGATTGGGTTATTAAGACATCTTTAGTTTCTCATTTCTGGTGACCACTAGTATTAGATAATTACGCGAAAAGTGTTTTTCATCTAAAAACCTTTGCTAAGGTCAGAGTCACGCAATGATTTTATGACCACAAAATTTATTACATTTTATGTAAACATTTCGTAAGATAAAGAATTTAATTCTCTCCGATAATTCTGTTAATGTATTTTATAAAATAAATACTTTAATGATTAAAACCTACAAAAAATGGATTATTTTTCCAGATTATTCTTTGATTTATAATTTGGAAACATTTGCAATATTAGGAATTTTTTGTTTTCATGTGATAATCACTTTATAATGCATTATAACTATCCTTAAGCTATATTCTGTAAGACATTAGTTCTTGAAAAACGTATAAATAAGAAGTGAATTACCATTAAAAACACAATAAGATCTTTTGTTTGCTTTTTATATACTGTACATTAAGATATCCAAACATATAAAGCAAAATATGTCACTAATGTATCTATTTTTTCAATTCAATACTTAACTTTCCTATAAAATAGTTTTGAAATTTTCATAAACTGCTTAAAAAGGCTTATAATTGCATAACATATTCATAATTTTAGAAACAATGACAATATTTTGATAATGATATGAAACTAAAATATTGCGACATTTGCATATTTACATTTTCCATTTGCATATATTTAAAACATGAACAAAAAATGAAAATTATACTTTAAAATTTCAAATCTCTAGTAATAAATCAATATTTTGTTTACTACCTATTATTAATGATAGTCGTTAACTGGTATTATATTGTGTTTTGTGAGAATTATTTATAAAACTAATGAATAAACAGTTAAATTAAGATTAAACGGAGCTTTTATTAGTTTAAAGATAGGATTACTTTCGCAAAAGCAATACAATCTATGCTTTAGTTCTAATGGCAGTCTGTGTTTGTTTTGTAGTCAACTGTAATATATTATACAACTCTGTGTTAATCCGTTCAATATTTCTTCCAACTTTGTATTGCAATCACTGGTTCACACAATAAGATCTTTTGTTTGCTTTTTATATACTGTACATTAAGATATCCAAACATATAAAGCAAAATATGTCACTAATGTATCTATTTTTTCAATTCAATACTTAACTTTCCTATAAAATAGTTTTAAAATTTTCATAAACTACTTAAAAAGGCTTATAATTTCATAACATATTCATAATTTTAGAAACAATGACAATATTTTGATAATGATATGAAACTACAATATTGCGACATTTGCATATTTACATTTTCCATTTGCATATATTTAAATTATACTTTAAAATTTCAAATCTCTAGTAATAAATCAATATTTTGTTTACTACCTATTATTAATGCTAGTCGTTAACTGGTATTATATTGTGTTTTGTGAGAATTATTTATAAAACTAATGAATAAACAGTTAAATTAAGATTAAACGGAGCTTTTATTAGTTTAAAGATAGGATTACTTTCGCAAAAACAATACAATCTATGCTTTAGTTCTAATGGCAGTCTGTGTTTGTTTTGTAGTCAACTGTAATATATTATACAACTCTGTGTTAATCCGTTCAATATTTCTTCCAACTTTGTATTGCAATCACTGGTTC